ATTTCGTTAAGAATATGTTTTAGTGTCCCCTGTTGGTTTGAAAGGGAATCTATCACTACTGGAAATATGTTTTCATTTTTGCCAGGGGACTGAAGTAAATGAAGGATTCGGATTGGGGTCAGGTGGACAACTCTGAAGTGTTTCTGTGTGCTTTCCTCTTTTTGGAGAGGGGTTCAAGCCGTTTTGGGAAACAAGGACGGTCCTTTTGTTTGTTGAGACGGAGGGCTGTGTTCGCAGTGCGTGCTAGGCTTGTTTCAGTCTGCCTCGGTCGGACGTGGTGACGTGGGTGCCGCATGTGGCCGCACGCGAATGCCGCCGCAATGCCGCGCGCATCCATTTGGAGAGAGGTCCGAGCTAAACAACAATGGTTTGAGCAGCTTGTCATATGGGACAAGGGAATCGCGGCTGAGACATTTCTGGCCCACGCCTGGTTGACAGTGTTGAAAGCAATAGGATGCCGCAAGCTTAAAATCCTCTGAATCTGGTGAACTCCCAGGTTTGCCGGAGCTCCCTTCATGCCCAGTTCCATAATTTTAATCATCAAATCCAAGACCGTTGATAGTTTTTTGCGTAATTGAGTTGTCATTCAAGACCGTTGATATTTATTTTTTTTGGGCGTAATTGAGTGGTGTGTTTGTAGGTTGGAAATCACGCTTGAAACCCGGTGTTCGTTTGAAACGGCCCCATGGTGCAACAAAACTCCTTGTGGCTCCTTGAATTGGAATAGAGCATGCTTGTTTGAAGATTTTGAACACGTGGCCAGAGTTATGGGGTTCAAACGCAAATGCCGGGTTTTAGGCTGCGGGGCAGGTTCCAGGTAGGTTCCGAATTTCGAGCTGCTGGGGATTACCTGCTTTTTGTTTCTCTTTCAAGGGGGGGGGTAGTGGTTTCATCAATTTTTGCCCAACCCTGAATTTGGAAGGGAGGGGTATGCTTTAAGTTTTGTTGTTTTCCCCCCTTTTGGTTCCCCAAATAAATCCGCACCCATTTGGAAGGATTGACCTCCATGCCAAAAAAAACAATACACCAGCATAGACCCCAGATAGCGAAACGCGTGCCAACGATTGCACGGCAGCACCTCTAACAGCACTGCACCAACAGCACCTCAACCAACACCCCAAACAGCAAAGGCCCCTCTGATATCAACCGCAGAAGCGCGCCCGCACCATCACTCCGAACAGCGCCCCCAAACAGCACTTCCAGAGCACCCAACCGTCAATCTCGAAAAATTGCGCCCGCACCATCACCAGCACCTCAAACAGCGCCCCAAGCAGCATCCCAAAACGGCACCTGTGCCAGCGCCCCAGACTGCCCCCTGGCGCAAAAGTGCGCGGCCGTCAATCTCGCAAAAACGTGCCCGCATCATCGCCAGCAGCTCAAACAAGAGCCCAAACAGCATCCCAAACAGCACCCCCCACACACACACACACACACACACCTACACCAGCACCCCAAACTGCACGCCCCCTAGCACCCAGTTGTCAATCTCGCAAATCACTTTCCCTTCTTTATTAGAAGTTAGAACCCCTGTAGCTTTCACCTATCTGGGGAACAAAACAAATGCCCAGCGCTTGCTCGGCTGCTGCTCGCGCCTGTAGGCGGCTGAGAACTACGGAGGGTTCCCGGACCTCGCGGTGACCACCCTCAAGCCGCTGCTGAAGCCCTCGAAAGAGGCGCTCGCCCGGGGGCTCGGCGAGCGGCGCCACCGCCGGCACCGCCGGTCGGGCGCCCGAGGGTTTTTGTTCCCCCAGAAGTAGCTCCCCTTTTGGATGTTTTGCTTGTGTCTCGTTTGTTTCCCACTAACCAGGCCTTTTTGGCAGCTCTCCCTGGAGGGGTTCTCCTCCTCCAAGCAGTGGCAAAACCTGGATTGTTCCAATTTGGGGGCGGGTCCTGAATTCTCATCCGCAATCTGACACCAATGAGAAGGGAAACGCTTAGCATATGCCACAAGAATTAAGGCTGAACCACAATGAAACGATATGAAGCACCCCACATGTCCCAGGTGAACGCCCAACTCCCCCCCTGACTGTTGGTTCCACAATGGTCACAGAGGTTGAATTGTTGCCGCAGTCCTTGTTAAACTCCCGTGTTCTTGCAGGACTCGATCAGTAGCTCCGAAAGGTCCCAGCTAACGGGTGGACCAGGTAGAACCACCTCAAACCTTGGCTGGAATTAGGACCCCCAGTAAAAAGCCTGTTGCTTGGCGGGCTCAAGCCAAACTAGGGGGCTGGGGAACTAGGGATTATTTCCCATCGGAAGCATGGGGGTGCTGTGGATGGGCCAGATCCTTTGCCCCGGGGGGCGAAAACGCCAATGGAAGATACAGCACGGTCTGTTCGATTCGGGCACGGACGGCTTGGCTTGCCTCCGAGGAAGTTCTCATCAGAAGGCTGCACAACCCAAGGGAGCTGGCCACTTGGATTGCTATCGGGCGCAGTCGGGGTGCTGGAATTGGCAGCTACTCACTCCCTGAGTTCTGGACTTTTGGCCATCGTTTAGGGAAGACCTTTCTGAGGGTAAACGTCAAATTTAAAAGTTGTTTTGGGCAGGAAGGGCTAAATAACTATGTATGTTCGATTCTTCCGGGGACCCCAAAAAGTTTTGCACCTTCTGTTCTTTTCAGATGTACTCGATTTTCAGACACGATCTCAGGCATGACGATTGCCTTTGAACCTGGGTCCTGGATCCATGAATCCGGTGAGTGGTTTATGCAGATGTGCCTGCTGGGTAGTGGTTGTCTCTGCTTCTGGCGCTAAGGATCGTTCAGAGAAGACGGTGAGGACAGGAAGGGAGACCAGAGCTGGAATGGAGGGCAGGGTAAAGGAAGAGAGACTGGGCTGCAGTGCAATGCGCATGGGAACATGTGACCAGGGTTTGCATTTTCGAAAGACCCCCTTTTTGGTTGCAAATGAAGGGACTGCCCCTCCAAGTGTGTAGAGATGCGATGGGGCCCCTTTTCCTTGAAAGAAGATTCAAAAAAGGCAAGCCCTGCTTTGCCAAGCGGCAAACCTTTGCTCTGAACCAAGGAGAAGTGTGCCTTGGCAGTGTCGACAATTTGGCAATCGAAGTGATGGGCCAACCATGGCTGTAGAATATCTGCTTTTTGGGAGAGATTCCTGCGATACTAAGGGGACCCCCCCCCGTGAAGCAGTAAGGAAGCCAACAGGATAAGGGGATGGCCTCCTTTGGCATGGCAAGGGTGGTTTTGCAACAACCCGCCAAAATGGGCATGTTTCCATTGAGCACTCTCTTTTCAGTGATGGAATTGGTATGATTGACAGGGTGGTTTGCCAGAATGCGCAACAGGTGGCAACAAACTCGCTGGTGGCTGGAGGGGAGCTGGTAGGGAGCTGGGGGTTCCCGATCGGAGTCCTGCGGGGACAATGAAACCAAGGACGAAAGCCTGCGGTCCCTTTCCTGGTGGCTTAATATTTTCACTCATACCCATACTGTGGATGGTTGCGAAATCCATTTCGCACCACCTCAGAGACCCTGGTTTCGGATGACTCCCCTGTAAATACCAGCGAAGAATGGGTTCAACCATGGTTTGCAAGTGGTGCGAAACGGATTTTGGACTCATACCCAGGAGGGAGTTGCTTCGAGGGCATGTTGGGTTGCTTCCTTGGCCCTTGAGATGGTTCTGGGGACTGGCGCCGTGCTCATTCTGTTCAACCGCCCTTGGGATGGTCTGCTTCAAGAAAAACGCCACTTTTAAACGTCCTGGAGGTTTGGTTGTCCCAAAAGATCGTTGGAGCCGGAATGGTTGGAAGTGACCCGTCTGAAACGAAGTCTGGACCCCAAGAAAGTGGAAGCCCAAAAGCAAATGCTGCTCCATGGAGATCTTGGGGGTTCCTTTACGGGCTGAGCACGGTTTTTGCCCGGGACCTGAGGTGTTGGAGCAGCTGAATGAGATCACAACGAACCTTTGCCGCATTTTGCAGAGGGATGTTAGGACTTTGACTTTTTGCCCGTATTACACCGCTAAAAGTTGTTCACTTTTAGCAGGGGAGCAGAGAGCAACCGAGGAACTGTGCCAATCTCGACTATTTGGCTGCAAGGGCGGGCTACATGAAGCTCACTCTGGGCACTTTGGCCATCAACTTGGCTTTTCAAGCGCCATGTATCGGTGGAATACCCGCAAAAATGGCGGGAGGTTAAAGAAATCTGGTAACACACTGCTCCTACCGTCATCCGCACCTCCACGTTGGGTCAATGCTTGTCTTTCCTGAAGGGGTGTGTTTGGGGGGTCATCCAAAGGGGTGTGGTGGTTTGGACAACCTAAATTGCAAGGAGCTTGCGAGAACAGAGGGGGGGTCGTGCTGCATGCGTGCTAGTCGGGCATGGCTCCTTAAGCATTCCAATGACATGGAGCCGAAGGTCCCAACACAAGATTTCTCTATCACAGGGAAATCGCTCCATTTTAGTCGAGATTACTCTGACCTGTGTGGTCGTTGAATATCGCTTGCCTTCTCAGCTGCTTCGCAAAACCACCCACCCAACGAAACCACCCAGCCAGCAAAGTAGGCAAGCCAACCACCACGTGCAGGGAAGCCCTCAGAAGTTCGCGGGGCAACTGCTAATGTTTGGGCCGCCGATTTTGGTGCAGCACCACTTGAAAGCTGAACCTTGGTGCAAAGCAAGAAGAGTCCGTGAAATCGATCCCAAAAGCGATGGTGCATCCCTGCATCAGCATTCAAGGAAACCTGGTGCGCTGACTGGGGGCGTGCTATCTTGAGCCAAGCCCAGTATCTATTGCCCACTGGGTTCCCGTGAAAAGGTTCCAAGTGTTTCTCCCCAGGTCTTTGAGGCAAAGCTCGGTCAAAGCCTATGGTCACTTTGAGGCAAACAACTGGGCTCAGAAATGTTCCATCGGGGTGCCATGGCTCGAAATGGCCCGCAGATTGGCCGCTCACATGTCCCGAGCCGCTTCCATGGCTCCGAAAAGCGGAGGCAACAAGACCTGGAACAACACCTTCGTGCAGCACGTGGCCGCGTGCACCATGAAGGGCGCACGAGAGTATCGCCGGAACAGACGCCCGGCACTTGCAGGTGGCATCCTTCATTTTCTTTTTGCTCGGTGGGCTCCCGGGGTGCTGGACGACGTTTGTGTTTTGGGTTTGAAAAGCGCAACCCTTTGGTGGGTTCCATGCTAGTGGACAGCAAAGGTAGCTTTGATTTTAAGTAGCAGGTCCTTTTGCTGCCAGTCCCACAGCTGGGACAGGGTCGCTTGAGATATCACATCCTTTCTCGCCAACGTATGGTTGGTTACCAGCACCTGCAATGAGAGTCTCAGATCCCATCGTTTTGACTCACTCCCCAAGTTCCTGGGCTTTGAAATTTTGAGAAGACCATTTGGGTGCTAACAAACAGTCTGGACTGTTCTTCCATCCACTCAGGAAGTGAATAGGGTTGAATTTCTGGTGGGGACGATTCTCGACCTGGACATTTGGCTGGCCTCAACTCAGTGCCCAGGAGATAACTTCAACACGTACGACATGGACCCAGACTCTCAGAAGTGCCCAGCCACATGCGTGCTGCAATGCTTGAATGCTCCCCCACACCCCCTAGACCAAACCCAAAAAAACATAAATATGACGCTCATGTTTTGTATTTGGCTTGTTCGCTCTCATGCATTCTTCAATTGATTCATGTGCTCATTTGAGGGTCAAATGAGGGTCCCCCACAAACCCCTAGACCCTCATCGACTCATTGGCTCATGTACCCCTGTTCATAGGGCTATCATGCCTGGCCAAAGCTACAGGTACATGCACGCCTTGTTGAAGCTCGTGCAGCTGGCGCAGTGCCTGCAGCCCAACGAGGACGCCTCCAAGAATTGCGCGTGGCCCTCAGGGAGCGTGAGCTGGGTATTTGGTTTGGCCTGGGTACGGGTTTGCTTTCCAAATCGGGAAGCCTCTGACATGGATGGAAGGGGAAAACCAATTGGACACCAACCAACTTGAAGGGGTAAGGCACGTCCCTACGCCCTTGAACATAAATTGGGGGGAGGGGGGGTGGCCCCGGTTTTGGTGAGGAATAGATCAATGGACTTGGGTGCCGAACCCCCGCTCCCCATGAGGGTAGGGGGGGGTTCCAGCACTCACGAGTTTCGAGAAAAGGTGACTGGCTCGTCCGGAAATCGGGTCCCACATGAGTTCAACACAGAGAACTGTATCTTTGAGATGGTTGGGGTTTAGGGCCGCCTCCAAATTCATGCGTGACATGTGAAAGCAGAAGTTGCAGGTCCCTTCAGGCTGACAAGCATGGGGTCCAACCTCCCCAAACGCTGCGATGCAGATGCCTCAAAACTATGTGAGTTATGTCCAAAAAGGAGGGAACCGCGGGGAGAAGAGGGGGCAGGAAGCCTGTGCCGCGCTTTCAATTGTCTTCCAGTTGCTTCAGAATATGTGTATATATGTGTTATTTTCCCTTGTTGTGTGCAAAGAGAACCCATGTTGCTTTCGGGCCGGTTTCCCGTAGTTAAGCCAAAAATAGCGGCAACTTAATCCAGAAACTCAGGGTTCATTCCAAGGGTTCACATATGAGCCTATACATTCAGCCTTAGACCGCCATGTGTTTGTTCCGAGCCCGTTTTGACTACCAGGGCGGTTCCCTGGTGACTTACTCCCTGAGTTGAGCTTTCGAAAGGCGGTCTTGTTTGGCAGGCAAACAGCTAGAGCTGGTGTCTTCGTTTTAATTTCTCAACCCCGGCCAGGGGGCTTTGCCCCGGCCAATCGTCTAAGGAATCAAAGTCAGTAATTATCGTTTGTTCACCGCTTCGGGCTGATTTGGTGGCAAAGTAGATGGCACAGTGGTTGTGGGGAAGTTGGTTGGGTACTTAGATGGCCTGGGAGTTAGCTAAGTGGTTAGCAACCCCCACTTATAACTTGGGTTGCTAACCACCCACGCAACTCCCAAACTATCTAAGTGATACCATTGGGTCCCTTCAATAATACTGAAAGCTGACAGGCGAGGGTTGGAAGGCAACTTTCCTTTTGGGAAAGCCTTTTGTTCCAAGATGGTTTGAAAGAGGGTGCAGCACCAAAGCACGTCCATTGAAATGTCCATTCGTCCCATGGCCGCTGGGCAAACACGCGGAACGTCGCTGAGAGTTCCCAGCCAAGTCTTTGGCGCATTTTGCAGAGGGATGTTAGGACTTCAACTTTTTGCCAACTCATGGGTTTTCCGAGTATTAAGCCACTAAAAGATAAAAAGAAAACTTTTAGCGAGCAGAAAGCAACCGAGAAGTGGAATCCGTTTCGCCGGACGTCGCTGAGCGGCGCCCGAGGTATTCTGAAGGCGCAATGGCCGCGGCCGCGGTTCGGAAGCCGCTGGAGCCTTCCCGGGGACCGACATGGCGAAATCGGCGCGAGGGTCCCGCGGGAGCGGGGGACGTTGGTGCTCCACAGCCGTGGCGTTTTTGTTTTTTTTTTGCGGGGGGGGTGCCTAAGCCCTGTAAGAATAGGTCCATGACCCCTTTATTTTAGGTCATGACCTTAGTTTTGCTTTTGGTTGCAACCTCCAGGGTAGACTTAAAGCCCAGGAGTTGGTTGCAATCCGTGGAGGGGGGGGTTGAGCAGCAGCCATCCCGGGGTTTGAGCCGGTTGGGCATTGGCACGGCTGCCTTGAGCACAAGGCTCTGTGGCTCTTGGAGCCGGGTCTACTCCGCAATCACCCCTTTTCTAGGGTATTGGGTTGTTGGGGCTCTTGGATCCAAACCCCCATTGGGTTTCAGGTCGGGTTACTAGGCTTTGGGCCCCAAAACCCTTCAAGCGTCCATCCGCATCGCTGCGGCCTGCGGCTCAAGGCAGCTACGTTTCGGCCCAGTTCGAAGCCCATCAAGCCGGGCCTTTCGCATTGGCGATGTTTCCTGCTGAAAAGTTGGTTGGCGGCAATGCTTGGTAAATTACGTATCCTTTTAGCGCAACAGCAAATCGCACATGGAATAATAGAAGTAGTGATCCTGATGGTCGCCAAGCGCTTCTGAACGACACAGCTTTCCCCGCTGAACTCTGCCAAATCGCCTCAGGAGTTGCTGGTGCCTCAGGATTTTGCGGCGAATTTTCTCGAAGATTCCTAGGCGTGTGTTTTGTTGTGCCAAAACCTGGCACCTGCAGAAATACTTCACGAGTGCTCATCTCGGTATGGAGCAGGACTTGCTGTCCTTACCCCCTGCGATGCGCCATATCAGATTGGAGGCAGAGTATCCACAAATTTTGGCCGGGGATGACACGGTGTGACCTGCCATTAACTGCAGTGGACAGCCGGGAAATATGTACTAAACGTCCCTTATCCGAGAGGAGATCTCCAAAGAACAGGAGTTGAACATGGTTGTTGTTGGGACACATTTTATACTTTCGCTTATGGCGGTTTAGTTTTTGAAATCCAACCGCTTAACTGCTAAACAATATATATATATATAAATATATTTGCTCCCCCAAACCCAACGTGAAGCAAGGGAAAGGTACTTCACGTCTTGAGTCCTTGGCCCATCCACTCGGGACTTGGCCCATCCACCCGGGACGTGGTGGGCATCCGATGCCTCAACGGTTCACACCATAAATGCCGGAGGTTCAGGTCCAGCCACTTTGGAGGTGGAAACCCCTTGGCCAAGGATGGAAATTTAGAGGTATGGAGCCTTGTGTTCCACCAACGTAGGCTTTGCGTAGCAGCCTGGCGATATCTATGCATATTGGTGTATAATATATATATATATATATTATGTGGACATATACGCAATAAACATAAATACTGTAGTTAATCTCCATGCCTGCCAACACCATGCCGCACATTCCCTCGAAATGACGCAAAGCTCTATCGCTTTGTGAGTGCTTTTTTGGGTCGCCTACGCTTCGAAGTTTGGCTCAAGTGAATGGCCGGCCATTCGCAAGCTGGGCATGACAGGCCGGGGTTCGAGCTGTGGCAGAGCAACGCCCAAAACCACGCGTATTGTGTTGTAGGTGGTGCTACTAGCTGCCTACATGGGGACCATAAGGCCTGCAAAATCCATTGCAACATGTTGGTGGGAACAAGGGTTTGTGGGTTGCGGGTGCTGGCTAGCACATGGATGGGGGGTGCGTGGCTGCAGGATGACTGACAAATCCTGGAGCACATGTGGTGGAGCCTGCTGATCGCTTCTTGGCGCAACATTTCGCAACGCACGATGCTTTGCATGCAATGCAGTAGCCTTCACCAGCGTTGCGGTTCTGGATGTGATTGCGCAGGTCAGGTTGGACCACTCTCTCAGCCTTTGAATCAGAGAGGTCGGCCTAGAATAAAGGATTCACCACCAAACGGGCAGGGACGGGAGATTGGCTGGGGGGTACCTATTGATCAGCGGCAATTATCACAGCGAAGTCTTCGGCACCATTTGTTTCAAATCACCCACAATGAAGGATTCGAGGAATATCGGAGAAAATGATCCAGGTTGGTGAATTAGAGCCAGCATGGCAGGTCCCGAGATTTGAGGGCCCAGGGCTTTGCTGATGTCCCTAAGGCAGCTGCAACTGCCGCTGATTTGAGGAGGGGAGCTCTCAGGTTCACCTATGGCCTGGTTGCATTTTGGACATGCATGCCTGACCTTTTGGCTACTTGGTCACGGATGCACAGGGACTTATATTTTTGGGAAGCGAGAAAATATTCGAACAGCGAAAGATTGAACGGTTTGCACGGATTGAGTCATCCAGTCAACTGTTGGTTTTCCCCATCGCCGTTGTTTGGGCGCCCCACAAGTTTGAGCTATCCCCATTCCAGCTTGCCCGAGCCAGTAGCTCAGCAGCAGGGGGAAGGGGCAGGCCGCACCTGCCCGCTGCACACAGATGATTTCCCCATGACCAAAGGAAGTACAACTGCGCTGGTGAAGCCTCATGGGGTGGTTTGGGGGTAGTGGAAACTGGAAACCACAGTTTTTTTGGAGGGAAGTCATGGTTTCTTCCGGGTTCCCCCCCATCTTTGGAGGTGTTCGTTTGGCTTCTTCCCTTTGACTGCTCGTGGGTTGGATCTTTAGACTTCAACTTTTGGGAAATCACAGAGGTTTTCCACTAAACCCACAAGTAAACCAAAAAAACACAAAACAAATGCAGAGGGGTCGTTACAGCCGCCTTACATTTGCGCATTCGTTCCTCGCGGCCAGGAGCTTTGGGATCTTCGAGCGCGCGGAGGTCTCGGACCTGCACGAGCACGGCCTGCTGCCGGAGAGCCACGTGGCCAACCTCCGGCTCCGATCCGCCTCTTGGCTGAGGATTCCTCCCCCCCCCCCGCAAAAATGGAACTGGCGGAGAGGGGTGACCCCTGGAATTCCATGTGTGGTTCCATTCTCCCTTTTAAAAAAATTGGGAAGACTGGATACCATGGAATTGGGGACCCCCACCCCTTCCCCTTAAAGTAGGGGGGATGGAGGGGACGGCTTGGGAAGCGGGCGGCCTGAAGCCCCAAATGGCGAAAGCCCCAAAGGAGTCTTAGGAAGCCGGAGGCATCGCAAGAAAGGTTCAACCCGGAGGTTGCGAGTGGAAATGCCGGTTGCTGTTGGTCGCCTTGCCTTCTCGGTAGCCGAGAGGACTGTAATAGTTCGCTTTGAAAGTGAAATGGAGTGCCCCTACTCGTCAGCGCCAAGGCGTGTGTAAATACTGGCTTTAAGCTTCAATGCAGGCCTTTTGAATGCCGAAAGGTGGATTCTCCCGGGCGCAACGACTCATCAGCGGGTCAAGGTCAAACTGACGACCAATTCGGACCCCTCATTTCGTAGGCAGCTACTCTTTGGCCAACATGTCCAGAAGGCGGTCCGTTTGGGAGGGATCTGGGAAACTGGCTTTGAATTAGCAAGCCCAAAACATGTCTGTCTTTCTTGGTGGTGGGGTTGGTGAAAGGGGAAACCACAGGGACAAGCCCAAAAACCCCAGGATCCCCGATTTCTAAGACGCACCCATTCGCTCGAACTCATTTGGTGTCGCCACTCGCCGCTGGAGCTCAGGTCTTCCATGTACATCGCAACAGCGGCCGCTCGGGTGCTGATGGTCACTCGGCTCCAGCGTGTGGCTTTTTCAAGGGCCGCCTGCTGCGATACTGTTGCTGTGCAAAACCTGTTGGCATGGACGAATGCCTATGAATATTGGGAAAGGTGCCTGAATACCACAAGGAGTGCAGAGCACAGTTTGCTGAACATGATGTAGCACTGAAGTTAGTAAACAAGAATATGCTTCCACTCAAGTTCTATATTGTAGCCTGCAAACTGTACTCTGCACTCCTGGCATTCAGGATTCCAATTGTGACCGTTGGTTGAGTATGCTAATTGATTGCGACTCATGGCTTGGTTCTCCCGTCACAAGTGCTGCCCGGGACAGCTCCGGTCCCTGGATCCCAGAAAATAGTCCACTCGGGAAGGCGACCGAAGGAAAGAGGCAAAACACGCCCAAATTACATGGACATTTGTTTGAAGTGGGAATCCGTCGACGGGCATGATTTACATATATGGGGATTATGCAACCACAGAGCCATTTAGGGTGCTTCCGTCAGATCACGGTGAAATTGGTTGCAGCCTTAGTTCGCACCCTGGACTCCGAAACACAGCATCCTCCAAACACCCTCCCTTGACTCACTCCCTGAGCCCAACTTTTTGGGTTTGGGCCATCTAAAGTGGCAAACAAACGTCAGGTTACTGTTCTTCCCCACCCCACCCCACCCCACCCCACCCCACCCCACCCCACCCCACCCCACCCCACCCCACCCCACCCCACCCCACCCCACCCCACCCCACCCCACCCCACCCCACCCGGCCCATCAAGAAGCGAGTTAGCAGCTGGTGCTGTGGAAAAATGGGGCTGTCAGGTCGCGGAAAAGAGAGGAGCAGATGGAGGCGCCCGGCTCATCGGGCTTCCCAAGAGGCACTTGGCTGTGTCTTGCACCAGGGGATCCGAAGAATTGTGCAGGTCCCTTTGGTTCCCCTTAAAAAAAAAGGGAACCACACAAAGAAAACAAACAAACAGGGGAACCACAAAGAACACCATACTCATGTTGGATAAGGGTTCTAAAACTCATGTTGAATTGAGCAGCTTGTGATACCAAGGGTGGCCAGAAGTGACAAATGTGATGCTCCAATTCGGAACGGACAGGCTCATTCATCACAATGGGAGCCTAGCCCTTTATCGTTTTCGGGGTCCTTTGCCTTTAACTTTCAGAGACTTTCTTGGACCATCGCTGGGGCCGTAATGAGTTGTTGCCTTCCCGCCAATGAACATGTACGCACGCAGACTCCTTTGGAAAACCGGTGTTTACTTGGACGTGGAGACCGCGCCTTCCATATTTGGTTGCGGAAGGGTAGCTACAGACAACTGGGGTCGCCTACCTTGGCCAGAACCTGCGACGCAGGCTGAGCAGGACTCAAGTCCCAGATGACTTCCACAGTCGTCAACTGGATGACTCCGTCAGCAACGCACACCGCGGCAGCGCCTCTCCCGGAAAGGACGTCAGCTTCTTTTTCAAACCGGAGAGCTGTTGGTTTACGCAGCCTTCTGGGATCCTAATGGAACCCACTTTGGTATCACGTCGGTTATAGGTGTCCTTTTGGTCACTTCGCTTGAGGGCACTAGAAGAAGTTTAGTTCTTATGCGCCAGCAGCTTCGTTTTGCTGGCAGGCTTCTTTATCGCCCGAGTCACGGGCCAAAAGGTTGTTCTGTTGTCAGCTCAGTTCCATACTGCGGATGGACGAAATCCGTTTCGCACCACGAAATGAAACCATGGTTGAAATCATAGTGTTTGTTGGTGGCTACAAGGGAATCGAATCATTCCAGTGTTTCTTAGGTTTCTGAGGCTTCCACACGCCCTGATGTATGGAAGGGCGGACCGGGATAGAGCGACCCAATGAAGGCATATGGCAGGGTTGTTCCTTCGGGGTGAGCTTTTCTATTTCAGCGCCTTGGTTGCGCAGGGAAGTCACTGGACAACAAACTGATCTTGTGTGTTCCATATCCTCTTGGGCGTTTAAAGCCCTCTGAGAGCCTGGAAGGGCGTAACCCCTATGTTCATAGACCTCTGCCGTTCCAAGGGCTCTTGAGAGCCGTGAAAGGGGCCCCAACCCCAAGCACCCATCGACCTGAAATTCAGTCTGCAGTCGATGGAGCTCGTAGGCTGGGCGATGGGGGTTGGTGTGGTCTCTCAGGCGTTCCTTACCTCTCCATAATCAACACGTAAAAAGTTGTAACAAGTCCTAGGAAGAATCTGTTTTCGGGGTTGCTGTTGCTTCACTACAGAATGGCATGGAACCTGACAAGGACGTCATTTGCCCAAGATAAGATTCCTCCAGCTTGGTTTTCTGGGCGGTTCCATGTCAAACTGGAGTGGGTGCGTCCCAGGCGTTTCGAGCAATTCCACCTAAACTTTGCGCTGAGAAGGCCGCTGAAAGGTTTACAGGGGAATCGAATCATTCCAGCGTTTTTTGTTTTTTTAATGTGGTGCGAAGTGGATTTCGCAAGCGGCCACAGCATGTAACCGACCTGAAACCACCAATGTGCCTAGTGACCCACCCCTGGCACCCTCCCCTACCTTCACAAACCCAGATCGGTTCTTCCCCCAGCCTTGTTTGAGGACCCCTACCTTCCAAAAACCCAGGTCGGTTCCTTTTTTTCCCCCCGAGTCCGGGGCTTTTTTTCCCACGCCGAGGACTCCTCAGCTACAAGTCCTGGTCCCTGACCAAGGCCTCCCAGACCGCCTTCGCCTTCCGCACGCCCAGGGACAAGGTGCTGTCCATCGCCGCGCTGCTGGCGGCCCCTCGCCACCGATTTGAGAGGGCGGAGGGGCCGAAGGGGCCGAACTCGCCTTCGAGACGGACGCTGGACTGGGAAACGAAAGCCAGGTGGTTCCAGGGGGGTGCCCTTGTACCGGTTCTTTTTTAGGGGGAGGGTCCTCCTACTAAAATTCACTATAGAGAAAAAAAATGGTACCCTTATTCTAACCTCTCCACTGGAGGACCTAGCAAATGTTTTTCCCCAGCTGAGTCAAAAGGCCCAGATAGGCCCTGGTGTGGTTTGGGGGAGCTTTCAGGGAGGGTTCCAGGGGGGTTTGGGGTTGAGGAATGCCACTTTTTTTTTTTTTTTTTTTTTTTTTTTTTTTTTTGTGTTTGCAAATCGACTACCGAAGAACCCGTTGGCCACTGGAAGCCAAAGCAAAGCAACGGACAGCTGGGTGCGCATAGCGCAAGCAGAACCTGAAGGAAGCAACAAGGAATGCATAACCTGTTGATTTTGGCAGGCCCCCGCGCTGCACCTGGCCGAGGGTTAAGGAATCTAAGGCACCTTTTCGGGCGTTGGCAATCATGGGCCCTCTGGCTGTGAAATGAAATTTATTGGTTGGAGCTTACTCGCAAGCGGTCGGTGGTTGCACAAACTTGCAATGTCAATCATGTTCAACACGTAAATGGGTTGCGTTAACTGTCGCCTGTTGCTTGCCGATGTAAAGTGAAAGTTTTTGTTGGATCCTTTTTCGCGACGTATTGGGGGGAAGCATAGGAATCCATGACCACCCGTGATGGGAACCCTGGCGGTTCATGAAGCCCTGGTGAATTTCGAGTGGGCGAGTTGTTGCCCTTACTTCGAGATCCGGAATCGCCGGGCTTCCTTGTCTTGCCAAAAAGGTTCACCTTCCGAGTGCTTGGGGGTTGGCGGGATGGGCTCCGCCATGTTGGTGTGCCGACCCCTCCCCCCCACCAAAAAAAGGAAAGCTGGAAGCCACAAAATGGCGGTTCACGCGCGCTTAATGTTTGGCCAACCTTTGGGCGGGTTCCCCACAAACTCATCAAACAAGTGCAGCCGCAGAAAATGGGGTCGAACAGCCCTCGAAGGTTTCGGGCCATCCGCTCGTGGCAGAGTTGGGTTCTTGGCGCGGGAAGGAATTCTCATGTCGCTTCTTGGGGATTTTGGGTCAAGTCCACCCCTGAAATGCCCCTGAGTCAGCAAGAGAAAGTCTACCTTTTGGCTTGGCCAAGATTCCACCGGCCAAACTGATTTGGTCGCCTTGTTTCTTAAAGGGGGCATGGTCACAGTGCAAGGCGTTTTCTGTCCCTCGGACCGCTTGGACTGAAGCCACCGGCCAAGGTAATATGACTCCGCTTTCAATACCAGCTAGCAATGATGCGATCCCATGGTTTCAAAGTGCGAAATGGATTTCGTCCATCCATGTCAATTGCAGGAAAGGCCGGGGATACGACTCAAAGCGGCTCAAAGCGACTCAAAGCGACGCTTCCCACGTTCACTGGGCCCCGCTACCGGCCAACCTGAGGCCACAGTGCCACTGGCGGCCTACAACGCGGCTTGGCCATGACTTCGCTCATCCAACGATCCCAGTTGCACTTCTAGCTTGCTGGTGCGATAGGTGGGGAATGAGAACTGGAACGAACCCCATAAACCATCCAACTGGAGGTTTCCTTTAAGGGAATCTCCAGGTTCATTCCCCCATTCCCTGCTGAGCACCAGCAAGACAGGTACATGCAGTTGCATATATTGGGTGTGGTTCAAAAACGGGTACCCACAATGGCTTGCCCTGGCAAATGGAAACAAATAACAAACACTCGTCTCTGCGGTCCCCTGGTGGTTTAATTTTGACCCACACCCATATAGCAGGTAACCAGCCATGTTCCTTTTGGGTTTGAAAGGATGGTTAGTCTTGGTTACCAAATTACGATACAGGTAGATGGATCTGGGTAAGGGGTTTGTTCAAGGTTGGGTTTTGAGGGTGAGCTTCTGTGATGGGCATGGTTGCCAGCCACGAGGCATGGCATATGGGACGTGATGCCACGGGAGCCCCTTGAAACAATAAAAGTGGTTTCCGACAGCATTTCTCCAAAGCGGACAACTTTGGGGGTTCCCAGATAGGCTCCGGTGGTTCAGAGCGGCTTCAGGTTTGGGTTTTGGAAAGGTTCCGGGGGCTCCTGTTGGAGAGGTGAGATGGGCGTATTGAAAAAAAAACATGCAATTAGCAACTCCTTCACACCCTGGGCGACAACCCCAGATTAAAGAACGCCAAATCAACCACCCCACCCCCACAAAGGTTCAATTCAACCCCTTTGATCTTCCTCCCACGAGCTGACATGGCATTCTGTCCCTAAAGCTGGTTAAAGGCACTCCGCAACTGGGAGTTTTGAAACATTGTCCCCCGGAACTTCGGTTTGTAATGCCTTCATCCAGTTGAACATTTTTCACTGGTGGCCTGCCTGTTGGGATGTTCCTGAAAAGGGCCAGTGAGCTTTTATGTGCGCCTCTCCAAATTCAAAACCTCAAGGCAAAGAGAGAGAGAGAGAGAGAGAGAGAGAGAGAGAGAGAGGAAAAATAACAACGAACTCACCAACATGGAAGCTGACGAAATATATGCCTTAGAGGGTTCCGGCAGGTTCCGGGCTTTTGGGGGATATTCCCATGTTTAGCACCGGACGTGCAACTGGTTCATGCCACGTCGGGTAGACTGTGAGGTCACATGGCACTATGAGCAGTGGAAGGGAATGTACGACAACGGCACCAGCTTGTACCTGCAGTGGTGCGACAACACCACCACCTCCAACTGCTACACGCTGTCGAATGACACCAAAGGTGAGAAACTGGTGGAATTGGACGCTCGGTTGGGAAAAGTGCTCAGAGTGACTGTTCGAGGGGATAGTGTGGATGGATGAACTGCGCACCAGACACCACTTGGGATAGCTGAAGCCCTATGGATCATGAGGTCAACCGCCTAGTAACTGGTGTGAAATGGATGTTGTCAGTGAGGCGGCTTGCGGAACCTGAGCTTCTCTTGGATTCGTGTGCATTCGTGTGGCCCAGTTTTGTGCGTGCCCTCTGGCCTCTTGGGAGCCCATAGCTTGGGCTCAGGACAAGGCGGTTCTGACTGCGAGTCGGACAGCGATCAAAGCAGAGCCTCGGAGTCACGGAGGTCCTGAGGTGGCGGTTTCCACTAAAACTGCCGCTTTGGCAGGTTCCGAAAAGGGAAATGGAGGAAACCCTTGTCCTGCCAGAATCCAATCTTCCTGGGACGAATCAAATCCATTTCCCCAAAGCGACGCAACCTGTTGGTTTTCCCGTGTTTTGCGTTTGCCCAGTCTTGGTTACGGCCTCAACGTTCAAGTCAGTGGCAGATTTGAGAAGCCTGGCCGCCCTTTCAGTTTCAGGAGGATCAACCAGCATTATGTCACCTCTACGTTTCTTGGTGCGAGCGCCTTAAAACAAACCAAAAAAGGCTTGGGGGTTGTGGTTCCACCAGTTGTTGCTAAAATGATGGTCCAGGGGCCCTTTTCAGCTTCCAGGCAACCCTTGTTCCGTTGCCAGCCATGTAAGCGGCCATTTGGCCAGCTCCCAAGTAAAGCCCCGGATCCAAGACCGCGGGCACTGCCTACAAGTCGGACAACTTCCTGGGGGCGCGGCAGTCCGGCTGCCTGCGGCTCAGGGGGTGAAAAGCAGGGAGTGCAGCTGGCCATGCATGTGGAGAAGAGGGGGGGACGGCTGGCATGACAGTTTCTTTTTTGGAGGGGGGTGGGGAGGGAGTGGGGTGGGGAGGGAGTGGGGTGGGGAGGGGGGCAGCGGCTTGAGGTCACTGAAGGTAGGGTCGTTTTCTATGCTGGTTTAGCGGCGAGAAGAAAAGATAAACCGATTCGCTAGACGCAAGCAATTCACGCACCCTCCCAAGTTTCCCAGTCGCGCGCCTTTTTGTTTTTCTCTCTTTTTTCGGGTCCATGGGCTTGCCTTCAATTATCAACTCGCTTTTCCCCACGGAATTCCACCGGGTTTCTGAGGATTGCTCCGGATCAAGACCCCCTTTTTGCGGCTTAGTGGCTGCATCTCCCGGCGATGCCAGGTGCTCAAACCGGCACCACGGGCGAGCGCTGCTTCGGAGACGAAGGCGTCGCCATGTCCGTGTACGAGGATGATGCCTCCCTGATCCTTGTGCCTCGGCTACCGTGGGCTCCACAGGTTAGTCGGGCAAAATTGCCGCGACGTCACTACGGGAGGGGGGCGATACTACCTCATAGTGAAGGTTCCTTGCAAAGGGGTTCCTTAGTAAGAAGGAGACCGCGAGACCTTTTGACATCAAAACACCCCCCCCCCCCCCAGTTTGCGCGGATGTTGTCTGTTTTGGGAGGTGATGGATTAGGGGATGACCCCTATAAACCCATCCCCCTATGGCTTCCTTTCTTCGGGCATCCCCTTCCATTTCATTCCCAACCCCCGGTCCCGGCCATTCCCGACCTACTGCAACCCCTGGCGCCCGAGGTCTTCCAGGCGGGGCTGGGGGACTCGGACCTGCAGAACTTGCTGTGGCAGAACAAGGCCTGGATCGTGGAGTCCTTTGAGCGCCTTGGAGCGGGTGGGGGTGGGGTGGGGTGGGTGGGTGGGGTGGGTGGGGTGGGGGGATAGGGGGATGGGGTGAGTGGGGGTGGTGGGTGGAGTGGGTGGGGTGGGTGGGGTGGGGTGGGTTTCACCAAGGTTTATGGAAGGTTCTGCGGAAGCACCTGGTGTCACAGATGCAGCCCTTCTTTTTTTTGGAGGAACGCAAGCCCCCCTCCAACACCTCCCTTCTCTTTGCTCTGGCCTTCTTCTTTTTTCTCTTGGGGGGGGGGGTGGGGGGGCGGGGTTACTGTGTTTCCCGCTTGTTTCCCTGAAGGGGAGAGGGTTGCTGTGGAAGGTTTGGTTGCAGGCTCAGGCGTTTGGACCTTTGCCCCATTAAGAAGCCCTTCCCCTGTTTCGTTCTAAGGCCTTGTTATGGCGAAAAACAAGGCCTTCTCCGGAGGAAAGCAGGAAAAGGAAGTGGGCTTACCCAGAGGTGGCAAAACCCCGCTTCTCTAACCCCCCTGCCCCCGGCTCCCATGGCTTTCCTCAAGCTAAGTATGGCCAGATCACCCCTCCCCAATTTGGAACACCCCTGACCAAAACAAAGAGTTGTTTTCCTTGGGAGACCGTGTTGTCCAGGAATGCGCACGCGCGCGTGTGTGTGTGTGTGTGTGCCTGTGTGTGTGTGTGTTTGTTTTTGTGCGTGTGCGCGTGTGCGCGTGTATTGTGCGTTGGCGTGGGCGTGGGCGTGGGCGTGTGCGTGTGCGTGCGCGTGCGCGTGGGGGTGCACGTGCGCGTGCGCGCGCGCGTGCGCGCGTGCGTGCGTGCGTGCGTGCGTGCGTTCGTGCGTGCATGCGTGCGGGCGTGCGGGCGGGCGGGCGTGCGTGCGTGGGTGGGTGGGTGTGTGTGTGTGTGTGTGTGTGTGTGTGTGTGCGTGGGTGTGTGTGTGTGTGTGTATGTGTGTGTGTGTGTTTGTGTGTTTGTGTGTTTGTGTGCTTGTGTGCTTGTGTGCTTGTGTGCTTGTCTGCTTGTCTGTTTGTGTGCTTGTGTGCTTGTGTGCTTGTGTGCTTGGTGTTTGTGTGCTTGTGTGCTTGTGCGCTTGTGTGTTTGTGTGCTTGTGTGCTTGTGTGTTTGTGTGTTTTTGTGTGGTGTGTAATTGTTCTGTGTTTGTGTAAGTGTTTGTGTGTTTGTGTGTGTGTGTGTTTGTGTGTTTGTGTGTTTGTGTGTGTGTGTTTGTGTGTTTGTGTGCCTGTGTGTTTGTATGTTTATGTGTTTGTGTGTTTGTGTGTTTGTGTTTGCGTGTTTGTGTTTGTGTGTTTGTGTGTTTGTGTGTGTAAATGCTTGTCGGTTTGTTTGTTTGTTTGTGTATTTGTGTGTGTTGTGTGTGTGTGTTTGTGTGTGTGTGTGTGTTTGTGTTTGCGCGTTCGTGTTTGTACATATGTTTGTGTGTGGTGTGTTGTTTCTGTGTTTGTGTGTTCGTTTGTTTGTTCGTGTGTGTGCGTAATTGCTTGTGTGTTTGTGCGTTTGTGTTTGTATGTGTTTGTGTGTGTGTGTGTTTGTGTGTGTGTGTGTTTGTTGGTGTGTGTGTGCGTGCTTGTGTGTTTGTGCTTGTTTGTGTGTGTGTGCTTGTGTGTGTGTGTGTGTGTGTGTGTGTGTGTTTGTGTTTGTGTGTGTGCTTGTGTGCGTGTGTGTTGTGTGTGTGCTTGTGTGTGTGTGTTTGTGTGTTTGTGTGTTTGTGTGTTTGTGTGTTTGTGATACAGGTCCTGTACTTGGGTATTCCCTACTTCAGCTTTTTAATTGCATTTGTTTGCAGATAGGTGTTCTTTTGATGGGTTCGGATAGTTTGGAGTAATATGGGTGTGGGAGGTACCCAAAATGGAACCCTGGTAAGAGAAAACATGGACCAAAACCTGCGGTCCCCTGGTGGTTTAATATTCACCCATACCCATAAGTTTGGAGTAATACGATAGTTGGTAAGAATAGTTTGGTAGGTTCGGTTACTTGGGTTAGTTTGGGAATATAATAGTTGGGTAGCTTGATTTTCTTCCCCGGGCACAAGAAAAGGAGCCCCAGCTGTGGCACCGATGTCCCCGACTCAGGGATTCCATGATCGAGCAGTGGACGCTGAAGGCTCAGCAGCCGGCCACCGCGGAGATGAGCTTCAGGCGCCTCAGCTGCCAGTGGCTTTCCTTGTAACCTGTTGTTTTGCGAGTTCGATCCATTTTGAGTCATGGCCCCAAAAGCTTAACCTTGTTTCTGGGTCCTTTGGGCAACTGAGGCTGGGGTAGGGGACAAAATCCCCAGCTGGAGGTCTTTGGTTCACCTTCCTTTGAAAGTGGGGTACCCGCCCGTTCTCGTTTCGCTTGAGGTGGATTGCGGGGGGGTTCCAGACGTTGAAACCTTAAAGTGCTCGCTCTAGGGAGGGGAGGGGAGGGGAGAGGACAAGACGGGACGGGACAGGGGAGGGGGGGAGTGTGGGAAGCATTGCTTGTTTAAACACGCAGCCTACTTCCTGTCAAAGGGGTGGTATGTGGTTTTCAAAATCCATGTCGGTCCTTTGGGGCTTCATGTCTTCTTTCAGGTTGAACGCGGTGGTTTACACGAGGGTGGTGCAATTCCCATGTGGGCAGGAGGATGACTGAACCGGCATTTGGGGAACTGTGGCATTTAATATACTTTTCACCCTGTAAACCGGTTGGCCTCACCATGCCTTTCCGAGGAAGGCGGAGCAAACCTACGAGTTCCCGATAAGGTGCGGATTCCTGAACCAGACCTACTCCCCCTTCGTAAACAAGGCGAGGGAGTCTTCGGTTCGACGGAAAATATGTGTGTGTGTGTGTGTGTCCAAATGGCATGGGGAAACCCGATCGAAACCCATACGATTATGTGTTTTTTAGACTATTAGAGCTCTACTTTTTTGGGGGTATATGTTGTTTTCAATTGTAACCTTCGTAGGACATCCCATCATTGTTTGAGGGTGTTGCCCATTGATCCAAACATAGAATCAGAAACTACGGGTTCCTTCTGCTCACTAACAAGCCGTCGAGGTGGCGTTTCTTTTACAGTTGCTGGTAGACTTCCTCATCATGGCAGGCCTCCGCCAGAAGGATACGTCCAAAAACCACCGGCTTCACAAGGAATGGGATCAGTTATTTTCTATTTGGTCCAAATGCATCTTTGAGGGGCCGTGGTTGGCAATGGGAACCCGGGATGAATCAAGTCCTGGTAGATTAGGGGGGTAAGGAAGTTCCGCACTTCGAGGAAATACCCCTAATCGGCAAGGCTTACAGAAAATTGGTTTCTGGGGCTGGGGCTCCTCGGATCTCCTTGGGCTTGTAGTGGGCGAAGACCGCCACTTCCCCCAAGATAGTCAGTGGTTGGAACTATGCTCCCAAAGCGTGTTTTTGCTTGGCCGGTGCAGTGAATGCTTGAACATCATGTTTCAAGTTGACAGGTTTCGGAGGGACCTCCAGCAAATCCTTTGCTCCCCCATTCAATGGTTCAACGCCTTCCCACATGCTTGGTCATAAATCTCCACCAATCTTGTCTACCACCCAAGTGAAGTTTATTCCCATGTGTTTTGCTTCAGGTAACCCTTCATTGGTGTCTTGGATTGGTGGCTTGGGAATTTGGACCCCTGTGTCCTGTTGAGGGTAATTAGCTGAGAAATCAGCCTGGAACAGCTCTGAGCTCATGGACTTTCAACTTTGTGGGACCATTTTCGTGGCAAACAAAGAGTTAGATGTTTTTTTTGACCAGTCTAGTCAGAGTTGTGAGACTAGGGCGAAGCTTGGCTTGAGAGGAAGCCGTGTCGGCCGCCTCGGGCGTGGGCATGACGGAACTGGAATCCGCGGGCATGTGGCCCCTCATCAAGCTGATCACGCGCACAGCGCCTCGAGGGAAGGGGGAACCCCGGAATGGGCGGATTCCATGCGGAAGGCGGCGGGGGGGGGGGGGGGCGATGAACACACCTGAAAATTGGGTACCCGAACTCTTGTCCAACACGATATAGATTTTAGGGTAGACTTACAATGGACAAAAAGCTGAACAAACCATTTTTGGTGCACCCTAGGTGTAGGCCAGGGTTCAAAATTGCGGTTTCCATGGGTTTTGATTTAACACGTCTGAAAGGGAAGGTTCGGCATCTGAGCACACTCGGCCGGGGCCGGGGTGCAGAATTCTGTGGCCACGGCCCGGCAACTGATGGAACTTGAGCCCAGCTGCCCAGTGGATTCCGCCCGTTTTGCAACTTCTTTTAAAAGAAGCGTGGGCTCCGCCACCATATTTGCAGCCAAGCAGTGCCAAACAGCCGGAAAGGCAATCTGGAAGCCTTCAAATGGACAGGCACACCAACCTGTGCAAAGGCTGCCAACTGAGAACTGCAAGGCTTCCTAGTTTTGTCCGTTTTGGCACCCACAGCGGCCCAATCTTCGACTCGTGCACCCCCCCTCCCAGTGACTCCGTCCCAGAGGAGCGCCGCTTTTTTTCCGGCGCCGGTGGCTTTCCAGGGCCCAAAAAGAGGTCAGACTGGTCCAAGCTGCTTGCCCCAAGACCGTGGTGATGCCTCACATGTTGCCCCCAACTCTAGGGCTGGCTGGGGCCAAGTCCGAAGTGTACTTTTTTTCAGTCATGGCGCGGCACGTGTAAAGATCTTCAGCTTGTCCCCGGATTTCCTGTTGAGTTGGCAGACCAAGATTGTTGTCCGCAGGTGTCTTCATCAGTGGAGTCAAGGCCAAACATTCCGTCAACTCAACAGCTCAGCCAGTTAGGGTTACTCACCATGCAGCTACGGCGCTGGCCCTCCAACAAACAGCAACTCACAAAGGCGTCCGCAAGAACCACCGATTTTGCGTGCGCTGCGCAGGTTTGCCACCTTTGGAGCATGTGAGTCGCTCTTGGGCCCTCAGATTTCCTTGGTGCATTTTGCAGTGGGATGTTCGGACTTTAATTATTTTGCCAGCTAAGCGGTTTTCCGTATTAAACCGCTAAAACAAAACCTTTAGCAGGGCTTCGCAGACAGCCACCGAGAGATGTCGAGGCTGTCGCGGCCGTCGCTTTGCCGTTTGCTGAGTTCCTGAGGTCCTGGCCGAAGGGGCGCAGACCACCAAGACGGTGTACTTGGCCGGCACGGGGCTGGGAGGCGCCCAGGCGGCGCTGGTGAGCATGTGGCTGAAGAAGAACGAGGACAAGGCGACCGGAGAACATGGAACATCACTTCGTTTTGCAAAGCGAATGGGCCGGATCTGAGCTTTTTTACTTTTCCTAGAATTGGGCATATCACTCAACCCTCTGCGCCGTTTTTTTTTTGGGGGGGGCGGTTCCTTGGGCCAAGCTTCAAGCGTGAGAGGCCTACGACACGTACCTGATCGCGGCCCCAGGCTTCCAGTGCATCGCAAGGTCTTACCTGCAGGACCTGACGCCCTCGGCGGAGCACACCCAGCTCAAAGTCTACACCCACGTCATGGACGCGCTTGCAGGCTCTGTCGACCGGCGCCTTGGATTCAAAGCAAGGTATTTGAGGTGCTAGGCAAGCATTCGCGTAGGAATGCGGTTGGAGAAGCCGAAGTATTTGAGGGCATGAGGCAAGATAAGTGTCACTTGCCAGACACCGGGGTGAGAGCAATTGGGGGGTGTCCAACCTCAAACGAAAAGACGGCGTCATGGAGCGCCCCTGTCATTTGCCCAATTGATAAGAAACTATTTAAGAGCAGTCCAACATTTCTGAAAAGGCATGTTGAAGGGCTCTTAAGAAGGCGAGAGCCCCTGGCGAGCCCGAGGTTTTGATGCGTACTCGGGAAATTAAAGTGACATGTTCAAAGTTACCATCTGACGGGCAGTTTCGAGGGAAAGGTCTTGGGCGAAGTAAATTTGAGAAGGTTCTGGAATCGAAACGCCTGCCCAATTTAGTGGACGCTGCGATCCATCCCCCTACGTTGTGTCTTAAGGGAACGGTGGTTGTTGGATGCGGTTGGATGTATCCTACAAGGATCCGTGTTGGCCCGGGTGCAAGGGTGACATCCTCAAAACTACACAAGCTGAATGGCGGCTTCATTAAACACTGCGCCAAAGCGATTTTGAGAACTACTGGTCAAGGGCATGTTCAACTTTTGCAGGTTGGACACTATGTTCCACTTATATAAGGGCGATATACTTCCTTACAAGCTTGTATTGGTGGTTTCTATTCGCATCCATACCCCAGAACCTACCGCAAAAAATGCCAACTTGAATCGGGGCAAAGCCAATGTGGGGCACTACTTGATGGGAACAGTAGAATCAGGTTCGCAAACGTTCGTGACACCTGCTTAATTTCCGCAAAGGGTTGGTGGAACCCTGTCCTTTCCTGCTACCGCTACTACTACTGCTGCTACTGCCACTGCTACTGGCACTGCTTCTGCTACTGCTACTGCTACTGCTACTACTACTACTGCTGCTGCTGCTACTACTGCTATAGCTACTGGCACTTCTACTGCTACTGCTACTGCAACTGCTACTGCTGCTAGTGCTGCTGGCCATGCAGCTTAGGTATAGTGGCACTGTGTGCTACTTCGGCTTACGGAACTTTACATCTGCAGAGCCCTTCTTCGCACCTTGGCGCGGCATCGAGTGCAACGGCTGCCAATGGCTCCTGCAAGAATCCTTTTTGTTTGGTAGGTTCCCCACAACCCACCTACCCACCACCCCCAAAAAAAACGAAGCAACAAGAAGGTTCCTTGTTTCCGAAATCAAGCAAAGATAGCCCCACCCCCCTCCCCCAGTTCTTTTCCAGGGTTAGAGTTAGAGTCGCAGTTCTTTTCCATCAGGGTCAAAGGTTGAGGCAAAAGAGGCGAGGTGCATGGAAACATATGTGGCAAAGTCCGCTGCTTTGGGGGCAAGGCATGGCTGGGCTGATGGAGATTTCAACCTTCCACTCCAAGGAGGGTCCTCTACGCATGATGGGTTTTGGAGTGCCTGCCACGGGTTACATTGGCAGACCGGGGGCCCAAAAGTGGCCCCAGCCCAAGATACAGCTGACACTGCCAGGGGCGCTTCCAGTTGGCACCAATCGTGACCACAGATTTCAGCTGGATGAAAAAGGGGGTGTGTATCCTCCAAACGGTGAAAAATGCCTCCAACCAAATTGAACCAAGAAGGGGGCTAAATATCGCGGATGGTCCAAAAAATCGGAAGGGAAGCCGACCGCAAACCTTGGTTCCGCCAGATTTCTTCCGGGCATCATGGCGATTGCATCTTTCGCCTGAGGACACTTGCTCCCGCATGGTGGGCCATACCGGCCCTGAGATTTTCTGGAGGCTGGGACGTTTTGCTGGAAGTTTGGAGAGAAGTCCTGAATCCTGAATCTGAGTTGGCTCCGGAAGCACATGTACCGGCTACCTGCAAAACTTTAGAAGTTTTTATCCAGGGCTCAACATGTCCCTGGCTGAAACAATGAAAGCCGAGAGCTTTGAAGTTAGCAGAGCTGGGCGCCGGCCTCTTTCCAGAGGTGCGAATCAAGGCCTTTTTCGCATGGGATCGGATTTAGAATGGCCGCTACATTCTTGAAATGGTATTTACTTTCAATTTACCACCAATTCACTCCCACATGTACCCCCAATTTACCTCAAATTTACCCCCAATCTACCCCCAATTTAGCCCCGAGTTTCCCCCGACATACCCTTAAATTAACCCCCCCAATTTACCCCAAAATTACACTGACATTTACACCCAAATTTACCACATTCAATATTCCAAATTTCCCAAAATGTTCCCCCAAATGTACCTTCAATTTGCTCATAGTTTACCACCAATTTACCGCCAATTTGGGGGTGAACGTTCCCCAGGAAAAGGGGTAAATGTTGCCAAATTCGATACGAGTTGGTAAGCCGGTATGGCCCCCCACCCGCGTAAAGAAGGCATGCAATTTATTGATTGGGGCTGGCCCTAATTTGTTTCCTTAAAAGTGGCGCACCCATTTTGTGTGGTTTTTGAGAAAAGGACTTTGGTGGATGGCTTCCCTTCACAAACCACCAGCTGTGAGGCCCAGCTTTGAAGATCTTACCAAAGTTGCACCTGGCAAAGGGACACACACACACACGCAAAGAAAAGTCAGTTAGTATGGTCCTCCAGAACCAGTCATAAGACCACCGGTCAAAACCCCGCAAAAAAAAAAAAAAAAAAAAAAAAACAAGAAAGAAACACAGGGGAAACGGCTGGCTTCTGAACAGAGCAACCGTTGAAACTTGAAACGCATGGAAAGGAATCAACCCTTAGAAAACTAGCCTGCCCGAGGGAATGCATACATATTATCACGTTTTGGGAAGTATTTCTTGCTCAGTCGGGCTGACCCCCCTTCAAAACTAGTAATGCATGCCTTGCTGTGTAGCGATTGGAATCACGTTGCCGGAGACGTTTGAAAGGTTACAGGTCAAATCATTTGATCGACCACGCAAAGAGAGTTGATCAAGAATGCAATTTGCACAGGTGCACGTAAACAACTACAAATTAACTTCGCGAACACTTATAGCTAAGTCAACATGACAAGTTGTATACGTATGCCCCGCATCACGAACCCATGGACCCACACCATGGGGCACGTTGCTTGAGTCATTGTGTGTGCGTGTGTGCGCGTGTGTGTGTGTGTGTGTGTACGCGACACACAGACACGCGTGCGTGCATGCGTGGGTGGGTTTGGGTTTGGGTTTGGGTTTGGGTTTGGGTTTGGGTTTGGGTTTGTGTGGGTGTGTGCGTGTGTGCGTGTGTGCATGTGTGCGGGTGTGCGGGTGTGCGCGGGTGTGCGCGGGTGTGTGCGGGTGTGTGCGGGTGTGTGCGGGTGTGTGCGGGTGTGCGTGTGTGTGTGTGTGTGTGTGTGTGCGGAGTGGCAGATTACCCTGCCACCATCCACCTTTTTCCACCGCAGCAGGGGGCTGGAGCCGGCCCGGGGGGTCTCCAGCCAACGAAGACGCCCCCCGGTGTCCGGGTCCAAACGTACCTGCGGGGCTGCGCCTGGGCCATTGTCATGGCAGCTGGCGGGCCCACCCCAAACAAAGGTCCCCTTTTTGCCCTTTTCTCCAAAACCAGCTGAACCCCAGCTGTACTCGAGACTCACCAGTTGTACTCGAACGATGAGAGACTTATCAGTTGTACTCGAGACTCATCAGTTGTACTCGAGACTCATCAGTTGTACTCGAAAGATTAGCACCCTCCATCTGGAGTTTAAGTGTGTACACCCCATTCGTGGGGAATCCTCGGGTGTACCCATTGTGTGACCCCGGGCCGGCTCTGTCGGAAAATTTGACCTCAGCGTGCTTATCATAGACCAGCGGAATTTCACATTTAACCAGGATCGAGGTTTCACTAAAGGGAAGACAGCCACCTCTTCATAGCTACGTTTCACCCTTCGTTCTTTTTTCTCGCCTTCGTCTTCCGCGTGCCCGTCTTCTGGTTCTTCGCCCGCCTAGGGATGGCTTCTCCTTCCTCCCGTTCTCTTCCTGCTGCCTTTCGTGACCCGCGCGTTCGCCCTCCTCCTGTTCGCCCGCTTAGGGATGGCCTGGTTGTCCTCGCGTTGTTCACCTTTTTCCTCGTTGTCGTCTTCGTGTCCGTCTTCCTGTTCCTACTCCTCTTCTTCCTCACGTAGTTTGGCTTGACGTCTTCTTCCCCTTCCGTTGCTATTTCGTGTTCGTCCTCTTGGCCCCTGTGTGGGATTCGTCGTCTTCCCCCTCGAGCTTTGGACTTCATCCTCTCTTCCTGTCTGGGCGGGATGCGTCGCCCTAAAAACGCATACTACTTCCCTCTTCCTTTTCTTTTTCTCCTTTCTCCTCTCCTCGGGCGGGCTGCGGCGCCCTAAATACGCATCTCGCTCCCTTTGTCTTCTTTTCTCTCCTTCTTCTTCTTCTCTCTCCCTTGCGTTCCTTTCTCCTTTCCCCGGGCGGGCTGCGGCGCCCTAAATACGCATCTCGGCCCTTCTCCTCCTTTCTCTCTTTTTCGCTCTCTCCTTCTTTTCTTCTCCCCTTTCCCTACTACTTCCAGTTGTTCCTCTTCGCCCGTTTAGGGATGGCGTGTTCGTGGTGTCGTTCTTCAACTTCGCGGTGCTCTTTCTCTACAAGGTTTAGGAGGGTTTCTGGACTGTTTGGGGTCCTTTGCCCTTGGCGGTGACCCTAAACTTGGTTTCCCGTTTTTCGTGTTTCTTGGTTGGGGTTTTGCCCGCGGAGACCCAACGTGGGGCCTTTCTGTTCCTTTTGGGTTCTTGCTCCGTTTGTTTTCTGTTGGGGTCTTCGTCCGTCTTTCGGGCGCTTCTTCTTCCCCCCGAAAAAGAGACTTTTCGCCCCTCACTGAGGGGCGTGTGTGTGCGGAGTGGCAGATTACCCTGCCACCATCCACCTTTTTCCACCGCAGCAGGGGGCTGGAGCCGGCCCGGGGGGTCTCCAGCCAACGAAGACGCCCCCCGGTGTCCGGGTCCAAACGTACCTGCGGGGCTGCGCCTGGGCCATTGTCATGGCAGCTGGCGGGCCCACCCCAAACAAAGGTCCCCTTTTTGCCCTTTTCTCCAAAACCAGCTGAACCCCAGCTGTACTCGAGACTCACCAGTTGTACTCGAACGATGAGAGACTTATCAGTTGTACTCGAGACTCATCAGTTGTACTCAAGATTAGCACCCTCCATCTGGAGTGTAAGTGTGTGTGTGTGTGTGTGTGTGTGTGTGTGTGTGTGTGTGTGTGTGTGTGTGTGTGTGTGTGTGTGTGTGTGTGTGTGTGTGTGTGTGTGTGTGTGTGTGTGTGTGTGTGTGTGTGTGTGTGTGTGTGTGTGTGTGTGTGTGTGTGTGTGTGTGTGTGTGTGTGTGTGTGTGTGTGTGTGTGTGTGTGTGTGTGTGTGTGTGTGTGTGTGTGTGTGTGTGTGTGTGTGTGTGTGTGTGTGTGTGTGTGTGTGTGTGTGTGTGTGTGTGTGTGTGTGTGTGTGTGTGTGTGTGTGTGTGTGTGTGTGTGTGTGTGTGTGTGTGTGTGTGTGTGTGTGTGTGTGTGTGTGTGTGTGTGTGTGTGTGTGTGTGTGTGGCCCCCCTGTTTCTAAGGGGTTTCCGCTGTCCTTTTGTTTTTGGAGTCGGGTGCCACCATGGTGAACAACGGCGTGAAGTACTGACAGCTGGGTGTTGGCACTCCGTTGAAGAGGATGCCCGCTGTCGGGAACGACGACCTGAGTGAGCCATGCCGAACCTGATTCCGTGCATGCGTCTTCCTACGTTTCGGGGTGCACCTTCGCAGTTTCGCCGTCTCATATCAAGTGTGTTTAGGCACTGCGTCCGGGCTTCGGTCAGTGTCTTGATCCCTGTTGTGGGCATCTGTTCCGACTCATGCACTGACATTTTCTACAGACAGTTACCGGACCTTGTCGCTCGTGACGCTTGACTGTTCCAGCTGATCTTCTCAATACAGGCTTGGACCTCTCCCAGACCTTTCGGCACCCCAGACTGTTTCCGTGAACCTTTTCTGTCAGACCAACTGTTCGACAACCAATCAGACTACCCGACACGTCAGGTGAAAAATCACGACGCCGTCAGCTTGCTCTTGGCTCGCAATTGTTGGCAATAGATGTCTCGCCCCCACGCAGGTCCGATGTCGAACTCGGCAGGCCCCATGACCAAGGCATCCAGGAACACTGCCGGCCCTACGCCGCCCAGGTCTCCAGTGCACCAGTCAGCATCACCGAGCAGGAGTACGCTTGTTTTTTCCTTTTTGATGCTTCGTGTGACTAATGCAGTTTCCCGGTTTCAAACTGCCCCGAGCCCGGTCACACTCCCATCTCGTATTGCTTCCTGGACTTCTTGTACCGCGACCTCTTCGGCAACTTCCTGGACGGCACGGTATTTCTCTGGCCACTTCCTGACACTTGTGCACGGCAACTTCTTCAACTGCTTCCTGGGCATCTTGTATTGCTTCCTGGACTTCTTGTACCGCGACCTCTTCGGC